CACGAGCATTCATTTGGCAGTCTCAGACATTAAGCTGTAGTGATTAATTCTTGCTCAAAGGATAAAGTTTGAGTTTTAATTTTGAATTCCATTACTTTTTTCAGTCCTTGATGGACCCATGGCATTTCATCCCCACCAGGCATATTATGCTGTGTTTCCCAAGGCAGTGGCACAGTTTGGAGCCACATGCAGGTTGGCCATGTGTTGTGACTGGGTTTGTGAGAGACAGGCCTTATGGAAGCAGTAACTTCCTCCCAGAAGCACCATAATGTTAGCAACTCCAGTTGTCAGCATGATGTATTTTGTGCATCATTCTCCACCCTACAGATCCTTTCTACCCTTGGCTTCACACCAGGATCACAGAGGCTTTCCACCAGACTGTACAATGCCAAGTGCCACCACAAGCTTCTCATCCCTCCCTCTCACCTCCCAAACAACCCCCTTTGCACTTCTAGTGAAGGGACTTCATCCCTGCAGTAAGGGTAATGTTGAATCACAACTTTATCTGGCAGGGCTGCAAAGACACCTTCATGATCCTTATATGGGATGTAAAAATAGCATTTACAGTTTCACACAAAGACAAAAATGGCAGTGAGGTTTTGACTGGTAGCCACTCTTCCTGATTTGGAAGCCATAAAGAAGCCTAAAACCCTGGGTTGATAAAGCTCCATTTCGAGACAGTAGCAAAATCCTTAGTGAAAGGTGTTTTTTTCAGATATTTATTTTCTTTATGATATCTCATTTTGTTCTCAGTGGCTCCCAATCCTGGCTTAGTATAGTAAAATGCATTTCCCAGAAATCCATGGCACTCTCACTACCACCATCCACCACTCTCTAATTTCTGGCCAACTATACCAAAAATATGCAGTCCACATGAAAGTCACTGGACCAGCAACAGCATACTTGGTGGCATGGATTATGTTCTGGGCATCAGGTGGTAATAAAACAGGTGAAAGTGGCAAAGCACTAAAGTTTGTAGCAATTAATACCTTGCTGCAAGTGTCAATTTATGTGGAAAGCTGAGGAGGGGAGCGTTTGGCAAGAAGATCACCCTGTTGTGAAGAGCAAGGCATTGCTGGTTTCCTTTCCTGCTATAGGCACATACTAGCCGAACTCCTGATGTAGAAATTACAGTTACATGCTATAGCCTGCATTAAATAGCAACCCACCAGAGGGGCATGTGACCCCAACATACTTTTCTTTGTTACTGGTTTATGTCAACGTTGGCTGTCAGCTACTCTGATGAGAAGTCTGCCTAGAGGGAGTTTGCCACTGTGTGAGTCACTTGAGTCAGCTCTGTACCTTTCCAGCTCTCTTAGTAGTAGAAACTATTGCTGCTCATGGTACTAAACCAACCGTAGGGCAAGTCCAAGACTCCTATTATGCCCTGTCCCACTACAGGTGAAGAAAGCTTCTTGTGCCCTCTGTTTCTCTGCCAGCCCAGGCGGTAGGTGCTGAGCATTTTGTCTCTGGTTCAGTGGCTTTCCTAACATGTTCACACTGTTACATACAAACCTGCTTTGTTTGACAGGTTCCTCTTTAACACAGCATAAATCCCAGTGTAGCAATACTGAAATAATACAGGGGCAAAACCTGAGCCACTTCAGCTTTCATCAGATTTACTTCAGAAAAATTCCACTGAACTTCAGAGTAAGAAGAACCCTGTCTGAGTACGACCCTAAGACTTTGTCCACAGTAACCATTGTCAATATGAAAGGAACATTAACTATGTTATTCCCATCTGGCTTTGGCTCTCCTGGACTAGCTCATCTGTTATTCCCCTCACACAGTGCTCTTAAAAGGAGCCTGTCAGATGAGGACATTGCTAAAACAGCTTGTTTTGTTCTAAAATTTGCATATTTTTACTATGGTAACTTTGATTAGCATAAACAATACCATGTGCAGACTGAAGTCATTCTACTACCCCCCCCCCCCCTTGGTACATCTATATCAGGTAGGGGGATGGAGTGCTGCCCCTCAGATAAAGTTTAATCATTTCAGGATAAGGTTCACTGCTGCTGTGATCCCTGCAAACCCTGACTGCTGCCTGCCAGGGGGCAGGGTTAAGCTCTGACTGCCCCTTGATTTTATTTTCCCACTCCCTTTCTCTTCCTTGCCTCCCCCATTCATGCCATTCACTACATGTCTTATTCCCTTATCCCCTCCAGCCTCATCCTTTCATCTGTTCTTGCATCTCATAGATTGTAAACACTCCAGAGTGAGACTGTTTCCTCTTCTATTTTTATGCACTGCACAGCCCCATGGGACCCCAGTTCTGACTTGGAGCCTTTGGGAATTTCCACAGTGCAGGTGATGGTGATGATGAAGTTGCCAGTTATTTTCCCAGTCAAGTCAGGTTTTAACACTGAAAGTTCCTTTCCAGAAGCTACATTCATTTCTATAACTCGATTCATGGACGACTCAAGTTGAAAGAGATCAGACAGTAAAACCCATTGCCTTAACATTAGATGCATGACCTAGGGGTAGGGCAAGGTTCAGCTACCTTTAGGGAGTGGCAGGCCAAAATCAGGCCACTGCTTGCAACTCCGCTGCCGCAGCCAGTGCCAGTGCCAATGCTGCTCTTAGTCATAGCTACTTCTCCACTGCAGTTACCACTGCTACAACCCCTTACTCCTCACCGCTGATTTCAGTTACCTCTAACTTCTGCCTGCAGTGAATTTGACAGTGAGAAAACCAAGAGTTATAAGGGGTGCAAGAGAGAGTGGGATTGGGGCAGCAGCACTCAGTGCTGTAGACAAATTGCTCAGGTACACAGGAATGCTACTGCTCGACCCCCTGCCCCACACCACAGAATTGCTGCCAACATCCTGGCTCCAGAGCCCAGATGCAGTTGCTTGTCAGACCAGGCCCAGCCTGTGGACCATAGGTTGCTGATGCCTGACCTCGGGGAAAGGTATTTGACTATATTCCTGCAACTTATTAAAATGTAATTAAACCAACTAATGTCTTTCTGAGTGTGTAACTCTGCACAGTATTCAAACCTGAGGAGATCTGAAAGGTGACCTGGTTCCCTTGACATAAGAGAAGTAGCTAGGAGCGCCAGGAAAGCTGAGGGTTCCTCATTTAGCATAGGGAGCACCTCACATTGCATAACAGCACCCCCAGTTGATGAAGATGCATTGCTGTGGCCCCAGGAAGCTGTGCCTTTGAGTCCAGCTTGACTAGATGAATGGAAGGGCAAAGTGTGTTCATGAACGGAGAAACTAGACAGTTGGGGGTAAGTTGAGCCATCTGTAGTCTATAGCAAGGACCAAAACTCCCAGCATGGAGAAGGATGGAGACAAGATAATTAGAGGTGACATGCTGAGGTAAGCTTGTAAAACTAACCATCCCTGGATTTGTGCACGCAGTTGCTACATGTTAGAAATAGCATATACATATGCAGATTTAGAGTTAGATATACAAATACCTGGTTTGTATGCAAAAATACAAGTTTTCATGTGCAACTACAGTTCACATATACAGTGTCATGTTTTGCAGGCAGTTTAGGCACCCAGCTTAGGGAACATAGCTTTTTCTGTTATAAAATTAAAATGCCCTAACCTACCTCTTTTATTTCAAAGAATAACAAAGTAATAAAACATACTAGTACTTGCTAATTCTGAATATTCTAGAATAGTAAATACAAAACATAATTATTGAAAACACAATTTTTCTGGGGGACCAGGATTTCACTTCTCTGTAGAATGACCCATAGATGGTTTTGGTCTCTGAATCAGTATATACATGTATGAAACTTAGTCGAAAAATAACATTTATCTGTCCGTTATATGAACTAGGCACTTCACAGACATAGAAGCAGCCACTGCCCTGAAAAGGTTACAGTGTAATAAGACAAAAAATTGGTAGGAGAGTGAGGGAGGAAAGCAGAATTTGGGGAAAATTAATAATGGACAAGAAAAATGAAGCAGGGGATGGGGGAAAGAAACATGCAAAATTAAAGAAATGGTGTTTCATATTGTGTGGACATGCATCTTTTTTTGCTTCACAGATCTAATGCATCTTGATGATGTATTGCACTGTTGCTGTGTCTAATGGGCTGTAAGGATGATAAGATGTTCTAAAGAATATTTTAATAGGAAAAAAATCTAACCTCAGCCCAAACGTGGAACTGTCTCATAGTGCCTGAATAGGGAAACAAGT